TTTTTCCGTTGTTCTATTTTTTTTACTTCTATTAAAATTCACGTTGATATTTGACTCACAGCTTGAAACCTAAAACTAAGAATTTGCAAATCACGAAACATATGAAATCCACAGCCAGGAATCCCCAGTAACCAAGTGCTCCATGTGAGAACAGACAGAAAAAGAGCGTGCCTGTCACACTTAGGGACAGGAGCCTCAGAGCCACTGAGAACTCTTAGGAGGCACAAGGAATCTCTCAGACCAGAGGAGTTTGCCATGGGTTTGAACAAACTTGTAATGCTGGATTTGAATTTAGGATCAAAAGGAGAGAACATGGTGATGTGTACTTGATGTGACCTTTCTGATCCCTCATGCAGATGTGTCAAAGGAACATAGAAGAAAGTTCAAGCACAGCTGTCCCCAGATGGCTGTTATCTAAGAGAAAAGAAAGTAAAATCCAGAGACAGGTGACGTGTTCCACAGAGGACTCTGTATTTCTGTCCTCCCCAGCTGGATCCTGTCACCTTCCTACAGATGCTAAATTGACAGGTCTGCAGAGAGGTGAGCTAATGACCTCCTTTTCTTAAGGCTGAGCAAGAGTCTTCTCAGGAGCACTGGATCCCCACGTGGCCCTCTCGGTAAGTGCCTCTCTGTCCACAGATCCAGAATCAGTGGGCTAGCAGAGTCCTAGGCAAGCTATGGAAAGAAAACAGTGGGCTTTGCCGAGGTTTCTGGAGACATATATTTTTATAGACATCAGTCTTTAATTTAGTGACTTATAAAACTAGTATATTCATAGGAAATACTCAACTTCAGGTAGGTGTTTATTTCTCTGAACTAAGTGGTTTTAATTTACTTGCTATATAATTTCTCAAGGAAGATATTGTCATTTTAGTCTGAAGTTTTTATATTCATATTAACAACCCTTGTGAAAGAGATGAACTTTCACGATGGTTTTTGTTATATAGACTCATTTTCTCCTCTCACCTGTATAAATTAATTAAAACTTTTTGAATAAGTGACTTTTGTGGTTTGGGTTACTTAGTATACAATGAGATTCTTCGAATCATCAGCTCTAAAAAAGAATTTTTAAAAGAAACCTTACAAAATATGTGCAAGCATTTTCTCATAGAGAGCTTGCTTGGCCCAGTGTTGATTTCCCAAATTTCACATTAGTGGTGTCAGCACTTAGACATGTGCTCTACCTGTTAGGAAATTTTATATCAGATAATAATAAAAGTTGTATTGCAATTACACAAAAAAGTAGAACAAAGGTATTGCTGTAGATTGTGTGGTTGAAGGGTCTATGGGGGAAGAATGGTGGGAGATGAAGAAAAAGACGAAGAGATATAAAAGCTGGGGCCAGATGGAGCTTTATTTTTGATGGGAGAAAAGGACTGTTTGGGAACTGTAGCATGTTTATTTTACAAGTGATGATAGTGGAGATTTTTCCTTTGTTCCTGGTAAGGTTCTTAGAATATAATCCACCAGAATTTGTTGAGAGGAAATAATATGTCCCATGGATATTTTCTATACATTTCTTAACTTTAAAAATATTTGTTCTGCTTTCATTCATAGTTAATATAGTTAATATGCCATAACTCCACTCAGTAGGGGAAATATTTAGAGCCAAATATTTTCATCTGTCCTGGATATTTTTTTAATGAAGGATGCACACCCCCAATGCTTGTTTAAGTATTTATATTAACAGATAAATGTTAACTATTCTCCTTTTCTTCATAATATGTTTCAGAGACATAAAGACAAGTGGTGACAGTGTGCCTCTGGGACTTTGTTTTTTTACTTTGCAAGAGTAATTATCTTCTCTTGATTTTTCTTAAAATAGATGTAAATATATTAATGCTGTAAAAAGCTATGGATAAATGAGCACCCAGATATGTATATAAACATCTTTTAAATTGGTAGAAAAGGTGGTAATGCCTACTACATTTTAAGAGTACACGGCTGCCACCCATGTACTCAGATGGTCCTCAGGTTTTCCCTTCCTTCTCCTGGGTCTGTGCATGTCCTGAAGGCTGAGCTGAGCTGTGCCTGAGCTGTGCCTCCAGCCTAGCTGGCTGGTAATGATTTTACCTTCCTTACTGTGTCTGCTCTTTTACCCTCTTTCTCTTTATAGTTTTCCAGCTTGAATTCTGCCAAAAGTTGTAGCATGCAGACCAATATTCCCTCAAAATTAACCCACTCTCATGCTCAAGGCAAGCCTCAGCTCAGAGACTTTGTTTCCCTTTTTATACACAATGACAATATTAACGTTCACAATTGTGAGTTTGATCTGTAAGGTACAGGAATAACAACACTGTCACTCCTGAGAGCTGCATTTGAGGGGTGTCTTCTAGACCATCCTATGGATGTAAGGAACTGCTGTCTGGTCCCCAATTCCCCTAAGCTGTGCTGATCCTGGCCAGGTGTGAGCTGGATGAGGCATGGCTGGGAGGGGACACACAACTAGACCATTTCCGTTAGCCTGTTTTCATGTGATCACTCTCCAGAAAGTATTTCCTAATAAAACGAGTAAAAAAATAGCTATATACCTTTCTATGTAACATTTACAGACAACTACAAGACAAAGATATTTGGAGAGTGTTTGCTAGTATACTTGTGTGTGACCCACAAAATTTGGAGGTGGCTGGATGGTTGGCCTTATTTTCTGTCATCTTTCTGATGCTCCAGTGGAACTAAGAACATATGTGGGTAGTCAGGAATGTAGCACTTTCCTGTATTAATGCTCTTCTACTCTAAAGAATTGCCAGTTCCAGGTAAGGACTTAGGGGTGCCCTGATATCCCAAATGTTGAATAAACTTAGAGCATCTGCATACATCTCCCACCTCAGTCTATCATGCTTTTAGGATTGTAATGCTCTAAGCACTAATCAGTACTGAACACAGTAGTCCTATCCCTTTAGTTCATGGATTATTCAAACATTCTATTTGGCCAGTTTTACAAGGTTATTTGCCAGACTCAATTTTTAAAAACAGAATTAAAATAAAGCTTGAATTTTACATAAATAACATGAGAATACAAGTTTTAAAATTTATATTTCATTTTTCCTGTAATTATTTTCAAACATTATGTGTATATGATAGTACGTGCCAATTTAATGTTACTACTTTAAAATATTATGAGAATATATTTTGTAACTTACATGAAATAGATGTCTGTCACTTACAAGTGCATAAAACATTGGGAAGACCAATGAGGACTGTGCTTAATGGCAGTAGTGGTCCACAAGAGTCAGAGACATTTGGGAGTCAGATGAGTACATTTCAATGATCTCCCTGAGTGTAAGAGGATTGATCCTTAATTTGCTGATTGTGTGAGTGGAGAAAATTGTGCTACTTTCTTTTATCAATACTTTAGGAAAGAGATTTAAAACTGTTTAATTCTTATTATGACATGTCTACTTTAAAAATCAAAATGTCCAAGGATTTAAACCAAGTACTCACCTACCTCTGAACTGTTAAATGTAGTCACTTGTTCCTTGTGCCTAAATATTTCAGGTTCCTCTCAATCACTTATAAAGTACATATTTTAAATATCTATGAAAGTGTAGTCTTAATCTATATTTAGATGATAAATATGTATGAATATATGTCTCTACCCATGCTACTATTTTAGGATGCTCATATTATTGGTTTATTCAGACTTGACTTAAAGAATATACCTGAATCACACATGCACATAACCTAAAATTTAGTTATAACCAAATTCTATGGTATACAATTTACATTTGAGCACATAACCCTTCAAATAACTTTTTTTTTTTATTGAGGAAGGCATCAAATTTTTGGACTCATGGACAAACACCTTTAGGGTGGAAATAGTTCACATTCACCTCATTAAAACCAAGGCATTAATCATCAGCATTCCTTAAAATATTTAGCATTCTCATTCCACTTGCCTGTGAAATGTGGGATTTGTGGTCCTAATAAAAATTAATAACTGCAACCGGATTATTTAGACTAGGTTTTCCTGGCATCAGTTTCTAACATATAAAAGATATGTAATCTTGAAAGTCCCCAAAATTTTCTTTTAATTTTATGTCTTATAAATGATATTAAGAGTCTAGTATTTTGGTATTCATTTGCCCTTGTTCTTTTAAGCTGGAACAGTGGTGGAATATTTTATAAGCTGTATTAGTTCTCTGAGGTTACATGTATGAAGAATTATATACTAATAACAATAATAACCAGCATTTCATTCTTATGACATGGTCTCTTCATGTTTGGTACATTTGTACACATTATATCTCCAGGAAATAAGTAATATAGTTATCCATATTTTACAATTCAGATAACTGTGGCTCAGAAATATTAATCGTCTTTTCAAGTTCTGCATTTGGTAAATGTCAGATTATAGAGGTAAATTGGAGTCACTTGTCTACTTAGCAAAATTCAAACCTACTGAATAAAATGCAAACCTACTGAGTAACATTCCTTCTCTATGAATATTTGGTCTGATAATAAACCAGAATAAAGATGTGCCTAAAATAATGTAACCATGTATGGCTATCCTATGAACAGTTATTGCTTAGGAGGATCTTATTTTTAGACATAGGAAGCTCTCCTCTACCAACTTCAACAAAAAATATATAGAGTTCTTTCTATATAGCTAGCACTTTATTCACATTCTACACATATAAAAGTAAGTAAGACATTGTGCCTGATTTTTAAAGCTAAAAATTGAGAGGAAAATTAAGGAAATACTTTCCATAATTTGTGACAGTTTTCTCCAGAGGTGCTGTGGGAGCCCCACAGTGAGACTCCTAATTCAGCATCCATTGGGAATGGCTGTTACAGGGGTAAAAACAGCAGTGCATCCGGGATGGTGTGAGAGGAACCTGAGTTCTGAAGGGCAAAGGATACATGGAGAAGAATCCACATGTTCTGATGAAGGCATAGTGTTGGTTGTGATTGATGACAGTGGGAATATATATGATAACATATTTTTCTTGCTTTTCTCCTCAGACATTTATTGTATGTTCTTAAATTAGCATCTCAAGATGAATAAAAAGAGAAAATTTTCCAGTTATACTGACCTAAGAAACACAGTTTTCTTTGAAGTCACCATTGGGATCATAGCCAACACTGCCCTGCTTCTGTTCCACATCCTCGCATTTCTTCTCAAGCACAGGCCCAAGCCCCTGGACCTGGGTATCAGCCAGTTGGCCTTAATCCACCTGGTGTTGCTGGTAACGGTGGGCTTCATAGCTGCAGACACTTTTGGTTTCCAGGGTTGGGGAAGTGATCTCATGTGCAAATCGGTTATTTATGTAAACAGGTTGATGAGGGCCCTCTCCATCTGTACCACCTGCCTGCTGAGTGTCCTCCAGGCCATCACCCTCAGCCCCAGGAACTCTTGTTTGGCAAAGTTCAAACATAAATCCTCACATCACTACCCATGTTGCCTTGTCTTTTTATGGGTCTTCAATATGCTCCTGAACGGTCGCTTCTTAGTCTCCATTGGTGCCACCCCCAATGTGACCTCACACAGTCTCGTGTTCGTCACTGAGTCCTGCTCTCAGTGGCCCATTAGTTACTTGTTCAGGTACATATTTTTCTCATTGGCGAACATTCAGGATATCTCCTTTATAGGGCTGATGGCTCTCTCAAGTGGATACATGGTGACTCTGTTGTGCAGGCATAAGAGGCAGTTCCAGCATCTTCACAGCACCAGCCTTTCTCCAAAAGCATCTCCAGAAGAAAGGGCCACCCAGACCATTCTGGTGCTCATGGGTTTGTTTATGTTTATGTACTTTTTGGACTGTGTTACTTTCTCCTTCCTTGGAATATTGTGGAACAGTGAACCAATTAGCTATTGTGTCCGGATGCTTGTGGGCAATGGCTATGCCACAGTCTGTCCTTTAGTGCTAATGAGCACTGAGAAACGAATCATCAAGTGGTTAACATTCAAGTGGAAAAAGACAGTAAATCTTCAGTGATAGATAATTTCCTTTTGAGGAGTAAGTACTTTGAATTTCTGTTGTGTCTTTGAAATATATATATGTATATATATATATGCTTAAATGTCTACTTTGATGTGTACACATTTACTTTGATGGCTTACAGCTATATAATAGATTATTTAACATTATGAGTTTTTGAAGAAATAGAAAGTTCTACTTCTAACTATACTCATAAAGATGAGCTCTTAGCAAGTGCCAAACTCTAAAGATCAGGATGTACATCACTGATTTTGTTGGTACAGACCAAAGCCAAGAAAAAGCAGTTAGAATGCATTACACAGAAAATACACAAAGAAAAGTGGAAGTGCTATCTTGATATTTTTCAATTTATATATTTTTGTATACATTTTAAATTTTATTTCAGGAGTACTTCAGAAAACCTATTATAATTAATGCTAGAAGACTTTCCACATGGCTGAATAAAGAGGGGCCATGTTAGAGCTATATGGAGAAAATCAAGCAAAAACAGGTAATTAGAAGAAAAGGAGGGAAATAAATCTTGATCCCAAATCAATATGAAATAACAGACTCATAGATCAAACTATACATAGGCACAGGACTTTAGAAAACAGCATACCAGCCCACAGGGCTGACAGTGGCACTGTTGCTGGTTCACAGGATGTGTCACATGGAATAGGAATTGCCATTCTGGGATGTTTCCAAAAAATTGGAAAAGTATGGCAAACTCAACACACACAGGATCGATCTGGGGTATAATTCCCTTTACCTCTTTTGTTTTCTGCAAACAGAAAACATCATAGCCTGGCAAAAAATTCTACCAGCACGCACATGGGTGGGTGAACAGGAAGCTGCTCCTCCAACTGACTGCCAGGTTTTTTGCTTGTTCATTTGTTTGTTTGTTTGTTTTTGTTGTGTGCCACTGCTGCTACCTGGAACTTCTAGCAACAAGAAGGTTAGGGACTGCAGCGGATAGTAAGTGGAAGAGTACACCTCTCCTGCCCTGTGACTAGAAGCTCAAAAAGGACATGGACCATGGAAGCATGTTTTAAGTAGCCTTGTACAGCCCATGAGGCAACAAAAGGGAAGACAGCACTCCTCTGCCCTGTAATAAGTGGTGTGAAAGGAATCAACAATGTGAAATGGGAGACTGGACAAGGTCTGAGAGGGGCTAACTCTACAGGGGACAGGAAGCAGCCTTGGGCTGTCTCTGGCTGAGAGTGCCATAGCAACTGGGAGAGGCACATGGAGGTAAACATGGTAAGGAGATGTGGGGGTAAGATAAGACACGTGGAGTCCAAGACCAGCCCCAGACCCAGCACTAATCCTACTTCAGACTTGGCAGCACAAATGTGGGCTCTGACTCAAACACTAACACAAGACTGTTGGCACCAGAGGAATTTTATTCTCTTCTTTTCTTTCTTTTCTTTCTTTCTTTCTTTCTTTCTTTCTTTCTTTCTTTCTTTCTTTCTTTCTTTCTTTCTTCTTTCTTTCTTTCTTTCTTTCTCTCTCTGTTTCATTTTCATTTATCAGTTTGGTTTGGGTGTTTTGTTGTTGTTTAGGTTTTTACTTTTATTGCATATTTTTTCATCTTGTTTCTCTATTTCCTCAGCTGTCTTTCTTGTTTTCTTGATATTTTCATGTGAGTGAGCATTGTCTCTAGTCTTTCTGGTTCACTTTAATTTTTTTTTTTTGCTTTTTCCTCCATTCTTTCTCACCTTTCCTCTTCTCCTATTTCCTAAAGCTTGGGTGGTCATCCTTTATCCTTCAACCTCACTTCTACTATAGTGCTCTTCATTTATCTCTCTGTTTTTTCTTCTGTCCCTCTTAGATTTCCCCTCCACGTGGTAAAATTACTAAGAGAAAACTCAATACATGCAAGTTCCTGGTTTATGCTGGATTTTGTTATGTAACTGTAGATCTTGATTCTATGGTTAAAGGTACCAAATTAATAGATACCAGTTTGTCAGTTTGTAGGCTGTGCTTGATGCTATTGTTATTGTTAATTGCATTACTTTAACCAGGATTCCATACTTGCTGTAATCATTTGTTCTCCTTTGTATGAAAACATGGTGATTGTCTGGGATCATAACTATCACTATAGTCCAGTACCAAAGGACTGGGTGGTGAGCCAAATAGCAACCTCTCACCTCTAATAAATTGAGAAGGTAGAATCTTGGGACGGACACAAAGACCAAGAGGTGGCTACATCTAGAAAACATCTTTGACATTTCCTAGGGAAGCCTCAATACTAATGATAAAGCTATCTACCATAAGAAATATAAAAGCATTCAAGCAGAAAACAAATTAAAATTTAAAAATAGAAAATGACAAAATGCAGATGCAAAATGCAATCCCAGACCTCTAGCCTACCCAGGACAAGTCTAGGGGAAATGAGATAGAAGAAATGAGAAGCTACTCACCTGAATTTTCTGAAATTATAGCAGCAAACTTAAAAAAAAAGATGCATGAGCTTATAGAGAAAATTAGATCAGAAATCATTTCTCAGGTAAAAGGAAAGATGATGATCAAAATGCAGGACTTGCTCAGATAGTATAGAGTAGACATGTATTTTAAAAAATGGAAGAGCTTAGGAAAACAACAGAAACCATGAATGGCCAATGTGTTAAAGAAGTGGAATCAATACAACAGATTCAAACAGATATGCAGGAGATTAAAATCTTCATTGATGGTATATGCAATCATCTGAACCAAGGTGAAGACAGAACATCAGATCTAGAAGACAGGATTGCAATTAGGGACTACAAAAAGAAAGATTTCTTAAAAATAGAAAGGAACTGTAAAAAAACAATTCAACATCTGCAAGATGATGCAAAGAAAAATACCAGAAAATTGACTGGAATCAAGTAGAAAGCAAGGGACAATGCAAATGCCATAAAAAGCCTGTTCACAGGAGTAGTGGCAGAAAACTTCCCAAATGTGGAAAAATAATTTGACATACAAATAAGTGAGATATATAGAACTCCAATTAGCCATGAAGAAAACAAATCTACAACAAGGCATATAATAATCAAGACTCCAGAAACTCAGCAAAAGAACAGAATACTAAAAGCTATTAGAGAAAAGAAACAAATCACCTGTAAAGGAAAGCCCATCAGAATCACAGCAGACTTCTGAATACAAAACTTAAGACAAAGAGAGCTTGGAGTGAAGTATTTCAAGTCCTGAAAGAAAACATCCTCCAACCCAGATTGATGTACCCTGCAAAACTATCTTTCAAAATCAACGGAGAAATACAATTGTTCCATGACAAATAACAACTGAAGAAATTCATGGCCAACAAACTAGCTGTACAAAGGGCTCTGAAAGATATTTTAGATAGAGATAATGAAGACTGTAGTTCCAAGAACATGAAAAGAAAGAAGCCACCAGGCAGGGCAAGCAATTAAATAGAGGGGAAAGACAGGGAAACAACAACAGGAAACAATATGTCAAGGATAAGCCAAAATATATCAGTTATAACAATCAATATAAATTGACACAATACAATGAAAAGAAACATACTGGCGGAATGGATCAAGAAATAAGATGCAATTTACTACATACTGGAAACACATTCAACTCAAAAAGAACTTCATAACTAAAAGTCAAAGGATGGAAGACAATACTTCAGGTGACAGGACCCTGGATAAAGCAGGGGTAGCTATTCAATTTGTGGATAAAGTGAACCTGAAGCCAAGACTGATCAAGAGAGTCAAAGAAAGTCACTACATACTTGTAAAGGGAAAATTCCAAGAGGAAGAGATAACTATCATAAATATTTATGAACAAAGTTCCTTTGCATTCAACTATATAAAACATATATTAATGGGCATGAAAAATTAAGTAAGGACTAATACACTTGCAATGGGGAGTGTCAATACCCCATTATCACAAATAGACAGATTGGGCAAAAAATCAACAAAGAAACACCAGAACTGAACCAAACCTGTGAACAAATGAACTTGACACATGTTTACAGAGTGTTCCACCCCTCTACATCAGAATACATATTCTTTTCAGCTGTGCATGGGACGTTCTCCAAAATAGACCACATACGAGCTCATAGAGCATGAAGTTAATGCAAATGAATTGAAATTATCCCATCTATATTATCACACCATATTGCAATGATATTAGAAATTGGTGGCAAAAGAAACCACAAAAACTACAGAAACATATACAAATTAAAAAACACCCTCCTGAAGAACCAATGGGTCACATATGAAATTAAAGGAGATATTAGACAGTTCTACAGTTAAATGATAATCCTGATACAACATACTGAAACTTAAGGGATATGATGAAAGCAGTCTTATGAGGAAAATTTATAGTGGTGAATTCAAATAAACAACCTAATGTTCATACTTGAACGTCCAGAAAAAGAACAAGTGAAGCCCAAAGCTCATACAAGGGAGGAAATTATAAAGATCAGTGCAGAAATTAATGCAATAGAGACTAAGAAAACAATACAAAGAATCAATGAATCAAAGAATTGGTTCTTTGAAAGATTAAATAAAATTGATAACCTTTAGGCAACCTTATAAAAAAATGGAAAAAAGACTCAAATCCATGCAATTAGAAATCACAACAGATCCTGCAGAAATCCAAAAGATCATCAGTACCTACTTTGAGAATCTTTATTCTAATAATATGGAAAACAGAAGAAATGGGCAAATTCCTAGATATATATGAATTACCATTGTTGAATCCAGAAGATATAAAATTTCCAAATAACTAAATATCAATGAAATTGAAGATGTTATTAAAAACCTACTAATAAAGAAAAGCCCAGGCCCTAATGGATTCACTGCTGAATTATATCAGAAATTAGAAGATCTAATGCCATTACTCCTCAAACCCTTTAATGAAGTTGAAAGTGAAGCAATATTTCCAAACTCATTACTGCAACAAAGTACTGCCCTGATACCAAAACCAGAGAAGGACCCAACCAAAAAAGAGAACTACAGGCCAGTCTCCCTAAAGAACATAGATACAAAAATCTTCAATAAGATACT